TCCCCTGTGTCAGTATCACAAGCTTGTACCACCACTCCTTGCTTTTTTAAAACATGGGTTCTAGGCATCAAACTCAGGTTTGATGCAAGGCAAGCCCTTCACCGACTAAGATATCTCCCTGGCCCTTAAAGTGTTTTGAAAATCAGAAAATCATAAATAAAATTTTGAGCTTCTTTAAAGTGTTCAAACCTACCTGGGCACGGTGGCGCACGCCTTTAATCTCAGCACTCAGAAGCCAGAGGCAGGCGAATTTCTGTGAGCTCAAGGCCAGCCTGATCTACGTAGAGAGTTCCAGGTCAGCCAGAGCCACGTAGTGAGATGCTACCTCAAAAACAAAAATAAAACAAAAATGTTCAGACCTAGTCATGTTGGGTGCTTAGTCCTTGAAGGGAGCCCCTGGCTGGGGCGAGCAGCCAGTATATGTTCCCGTCCTGTGCTCTCTGGTTACCTCACCCTCACCTCTCCTGTCGTAAGTCAAATCCTCTCAGTCACTCTCCTGTAGTTTTGATGTGACTGCCAGCCTAGGCAAAAAGCCATATCTTTTCACGTCCTGTCGGGAATTTCTGATTTTGCCTCTGCCCGGCTTGGTGGCTCTATGAGGCTGTCACTGTGGGTTCCTTGGTTCTTTCTCTGGCCTGGTTTCCAACACCTCCCCTGACATGGGCACCTCATTTGGTGTTTTGTCTATGCTGGCCTAGGACAGCTCCTCCAGTTCCAGTTTGAGACTGGCTTTCTTCTGCCTCAGTATTGAAAGCCAATTCTTCTCTCAGAGACCTGGTGTTGTCTGAGACCCAGCTAAGCAATAAGCTTTAGTTGTATGTGTGTGGGGGGGGGGTGGTGTGTGGTGTGTGGCATGTGGTGTATGCACGTATATACATGTGGATGTGGAGGTCCACGACCAGAGGCAGATGGGGGCATGGTACTCTGTCACTCGCTGCCTTAGCTTGTTGAGACAGGGTCTCTCGTCGAACCTGGTGCACACCTGTTCTTGGTTAGGCTGACTGGTTAGCAAGAACCCAGAGATTCTTCTGTCTCTGCCACAGCCCTGGGATGCAGATGCATGTGGCCAGGCCCAGCTTTTTGCTCTCACCCTCTGAGCGGCCTCCTCAGCCTTGACAGGCTTTGGTCCTAATGTGCCATGGTCGCCTGAATGAATATATGGCTTTGCTTTTCTTCCTTCCTTTGCTAATGTTTTCCCACCGTAACTCCGAGCTTCACCTTGTGTTACTTGAGCCAATCTGACCTGTACAAATTGGCACAGAGGCTATAAGATATACTCATACATTCCCGATTTCTCTGTCACCTATGGCCTTGAAACCATCCTTAAGGAAGGCTAGAAAAATGCCTGGACTTGCCTATGTGAAAGACAAGTAAATGTAACAGACATAAGAGAAGACCTTAGTTGTCCCAGCTGAGGTGGTTGCTGACCAGCCTGTAGTCAACCAATGCATGTTAAAGAATCCAGCTCAGGTTATCAGTCCCCTACCTAACACACTTAAACAAGACCCTGTTACACCAGGCTTGTCGTGCTGAGCTATAGAATAGTAAGCAATAAGAAATGCCTGTTGTTCGGGCCACTGGGGTTAGGAGTAGGTGTGCTCCACAACGGTGGTTGACTATCTCCATTAGTGAAATTTTGGTTGTATTTATGATATATCTTTCTTATGGGAAATGAGTCTATAGGAAAAACTTGACTGGTTGGACCCTTAATATGCCACATGATATTTTTGTGTGTTTGGTGCATGTGTGTGTACATGTATGTATAGGTGTGCTCACTGGTCCATACACACGAGGAGGCCAGAGGAGGAGGATGTCTAGTGTCCTGCTCTATCATTCCTTGTCTTAATTTTTTGAGACGGGGTCTCACCCTAAACCTGAAGCTTGCCTGTTTTGGTCTCAGCTAGCTGGAACGTGAACTCCAGCAATCCTGCCCCTGTCCTCCCCTCCGCCCCCAATGGGTGAGTTATAGACACATGTGGACATGCTAAATAAAAATGGGTGCTGGGGATCTGAACTCACGTCCTCCTGCTTGCACAGCAAGCACTCTTACCCAGTGAGCCATCTCCCCAGCCACCCCAACCCCGAATTGAATAAAACATTTTGAGGTTGCCCAGGAGCAAAAGAAAAAAAAGATAAAAAGAAGAAAATAATGGAAGGGTTGCTTTTGGGGTAGATTGTTTTGATTTTGGAGAAAATAAATATGGCCCATCTAAAAACTAAACATGTTCTGAGGACATTCAAACCCAATGTTTGTGTTGCAAATGACATTCTAAACCGGTTTCCACGTAGGTAAGGGCATCTTAGATTGGCACAAAGAAAACATTCCCGACAACCTTTGCATTTACTGTCATTTTGAGGTCTTGATGTGGAGCTGTGAGTGGAAAGGGGGACAGCAGTGGACCTCAGAATGTTGGCAATGCCTTTCAGATACTTATCTGAGCCACACACGTTAGGAATCTGGGATGGAAATCTCCTAAGAATAACCGATCTCACGAAATTTCCAATCCCTCTTGTTTTTGGCAGAACTTAAAATTCCGTGGAAATGGCTCATGTCGCAAAACTTCTGTGAGGGGCTGGCCGGCACCAGGAAGGGAAAGCAAACCAACGTGGCTGCGTGTTTTCACGCCTCCGAAAAGGTCTGGGTTTGGCTCCAACCGGGAAAGAGCACTTGAGGTTTTTGTTTTGTGCTGGCTTTTCCAAATACCATTTACCTGACTCATGAGGCTTTGAACATCCGGAGACACCAAGGGAGTGAATAAATTTTATGTCTTTTTGATGTTCAGACATACTTTGAACAAGACTCCTTGCTGGGAGAAAGAACAGAAGACCATGGGAGTGGGTGGTTCTTGCCCACCCCCTGCTGAGGGACAGAGGGACCATCTCTCCCTGTTCTTTGTTCTAATTCATTAGGTTCTAGTGGGGTCAGCACAGGACTCGCTTTTCCCTTTCGATGGCTCGCTTTAGATGGTTGAGTAAGGGAGACAAACCTAGACCAAATTTTCTGCTGGAATTTTATGCTGCAATCAGTGTTTGGTTTTTTTCTTCTTCTTTTTTTTTTTTTTTTTTTTTTTATTTTTATTTTATGTGTATGTGTGTATTGCTTCTTGGCCCTGAGTGTGGTATAAGCCAATTCTCCTGCCTGGAAACGTCTTCCAATTTTTCACCCAAACTCAGGTCAGATATCAATCGTAAGCTTGTCAGACATAGTTCACTGATTTTTCATCTTTTGTATCTATTTACATGATTGTATTTTACACACAAAACTGTGTTCTCAGCTCGTTGCCTTGGGCAGTGTCGAAGAAACATGGAAACGGTCACATCATGCACCACCGTAAAGAAACTTTTCTGTCTGTGCCACATGAGCTTTCTATCAATATAGATCCACCCTTTGCTTTCAACCCCACATTAATAAATCACTTATTTATTATCACTTATCACAATTATTTTTAGAGTGTTGTTTATTCCAGAAGCTTCTACACATCTTACTAATGTCCAGATCACTTTGTCAGCTTTTATGGGCAAATATAAAAGGACACAAAGTGGTCATAGGGTTGGTGCTTTTCCACCCACTGGCCCAATGATGAGGTGCTAGTTTAAAACAGTCTTCACGTCTGTATTTTACCACTGGGTTCCTTGATGATCAACACTGCAGTAATGCCTGACATGGAAATACGGAAACCCTTTGCCACGAAATTCAAACAGATGAGGATGATTCACCTTTGTTTGTATTTCAGGGTGCCAGCGGCTGGCTGCTTCATTAGATTACAGCGTGAGACCACACTAATGAAGGGAGGGTCTGGGATCACACTCTGGTCCAGTTACCATAATTGCTTTGTTAATTTCCGTTTTCATTTTCCCAGACCACAGGCAAGGCTAGGAATTAGTGTCCTTGAGCCATAGATGTGCAGAAAACAGGGTGCAGGAAAAGCTTGGTGACAATCCAGTCTCACCTCTGGGAAACCCAGCTGAGAGGTTACATGCTCTGAATGTGTGCACATACTTAGGTGCACAGGACAGGCAGTTTTTAAATATGTGGACCAAAATAATTACCTATCTATCTCTTGCATGATTTCAAAAGCATTCATTATTCCAGTGAGGTGGAAGGATTAGGTTTCTTAACACTGATATTTAATGGATATTATCATATTTATTACTGTAAAGAGACCAGATGTTTAAAATCTGGGCTAGAAACTCTGCAACCAGATGGTGTTACCTCAGGGTCACCCACCACGTCTCGCTCCCCACTCAGCTGTATTTTGTTTCAACTTTAATAGAGCAATGGTATGTTTCCATACGTCTCAGTCTGGCATTAGATGACATGTGGGCTAATTTCGGTGGGTTGGGCAGATTGCTAGGGGGTTATACAAACCAGAGCAATTTGCTTTCCCAACAGTAAGAAAATATGTTAAGAATTACTGCTGGTGGTCAGGGCATTTCTCTCTCTCTCTCTCTCTCTCTCTCTCTCTCTCTCTCTCTCTCTTTCTTTTCCTCCTCACTCTCATTCTTTATTTTCCACAGCTTTAACCTTTGTTGTCATTTTTACAGTCTCCACATGTCGCCCAGCTTTGGTGCAGGAGAATCAACCGCTAATCACTTTCTTACCCCAGCAAATCTTCCTCCTGCTCTCTTTTCTTATCTTGCTTCTTATCCTGATCCAATGAAAACAAACCAGGTCAGAGGGTTGATAACATTCCTAATTTTAAAAAATTATAATCAATGCAATTTAGGTAAGGTGGGGAAAAGAAATAAAAGAGTACATGGCATGTGACCAATGGTTCATCTGTTTGTATTAACAGGTTCCAGCAACAGCTTGCCAGGCACAGAATGTCTGCTTGCCCCTGCACTTAGCAAGCACATGAGCTTAAAAATAAACTTTGACAATGTAGATCTCTTTGTCCTTTCAGGAATGGAAAGCATTATGTAGTTCAAAGCACACTAAGCCTGATATGAAAATATAGCTTGGGCTTGTGTTACTGTGGCAATTGGGAGGGTTTTAAACGCACACGACACATGGATGATTTGTGTGTAAACAGTACAACAGCCACAAGCTAGAAGGAATAATTGACACTAGAACTTTGATAAGCTCATTCATAAGGAAGCCACGTCTGTCTTTTAAGTTCTTTGGAATAACTGGGATCTGATTCTTCATTTTAATCGGGGTGTTTTTTTTTTTGTTGTTGTTGTTTCTTTTTTGTTTTTTTTTCCCGAACCAAACTGCAAAAACAGGATTTAGTAGCACATTTCACTTGTACAGAGCAGCGTTTGTTCACTTCGAGTGTTTGGGACAGGAAATCGATCTACAGGGTAACATTCCCACAAAAAAGGGAAACAGTATGGGACGATGGCTTGTTAGTACAAGTGACTCTGTTTTGGAAATTACCGACAAGAAACCTTGGAGGAAGAACAGCGTTAAAGATCAAAAGCATGAAGACTCCTGATGAAAGCAGCTCCAGATGATGAACCCACGAGCGAAGAGGAACTTCTACCGTAAGTATCTTTGCTATAACCAAGTATTTTATTTGTTTTCAAATTATTCTAGAGTGTGCTGAGTAGATTTCCAAGCGTTTGATGTAGAGTCTTCGCTACAGACAAGTCTATAATTAAACTCATTGGGTGGTTCCAACAGAAGGTTAGTTACTGAAATCTTTTCCATGACTTTGCAACAGTGGAATAAATTGCACGTTAATTTAAGAATGCTTTGTAGGACAGACATGTCATGTCAAGCTTTTCTTGGGCAAAGTATTACTTTTGGCAATGTAAAATCAATCAACATATATCTATAAATTCCATTGAATTTGGATGCTGGTGATTTAAACTCTGTTGACTTTGTTTGCATGTGGTTGATTCTGTAACCCAAACCTCATGTATAGATTCACACATACTAATAGGAATTTAGAGAGCATCTTAACTATTTCCTGAGTGATTCTTGTTTATATGGTAGGGAAGAGATAGCTTAGAATCCTAGGAATTGGAGGACAAGCAGATGTGATCATTTAAACTGCATCTTTGGAACTGAAATGGGGCTTCCCCCCCACCAAAGTTTATCTTCAAAATATCCAACATGTAGACCCATTGGAAATTATTTCCATATCTATAAAACTCCTCAGCTCCTAAGTCTATTGCTGTGGTCTTACAAATGTGAATCAAGTCTACCTAAGTCTTAACCCTATGCAAATATTAGATATAGGAAGGTCCACTCTTACCGTCTACCATATGGCATAGAATTAGACAGTGTTGAGTGTTGAATAAATTTTGCTGTTAGTAACAGGATAAATGTGGTTGTACAGTAATCATTTTATGTCTAGATTTGCTCCTTGAGTTTATCCATGAGTGTGATTGAATTGTATGTAGCTAAGATCGTATGATAATAGAATTGTATTGTATTGCTGTTTCCTGAAAAGTCCTTTGTCTAATTCATAGCCTCTCTTGAATCACACAAGAGTTTTTGTAACTGGTTGTTTTGTTGGAAGGGATCACATGGGGGAGCTCATTTTATGACATGGTTAAGCATCAGCTTGTTTCCAGTCAGTATGCAGGGACCTGGTGCTGGCCCGCGTGATGTAGCATGGGATTAGCCCTCATAAGCCCCCTTTGCTGAGGGTGAAGAGAGAGGCTGAGATGCTGACCACATCTTCCATTAGTAGGGCTCATCTCTCTGTAAAGGGTGACAGGTATAAACTGAGGAGTAAGTAGATGATAAGATTTTTGGAGTCCAGTTGAGTGCTTCCAGAGTGATGAGGGACAGGCATCTAGTGGAGGGGACCCGGAAACTCCCCAGTGATGCTGCCCCTGATTTTCCCTCTAGAACACTTGGTGTCAAGGTTTGTTGAGTCTGCCTTCTGCTGTCATAAGTAGGAAACAAGAACGCTGTACATGTGTGTTCGCTGCACCTAATTAGATGTGGGATCCTTGGGGTAGGAAGGAACTGACAGAAGCTGTAACTAGGCAACAATTATCACTAAGGTAAAAACACTTCTGGATAATTACATGGAGCTTTGGGGTAAGTTTAAGTTATATCACGTATAACATCATATATAAAAATGGATAAGCAGGGCCGGAGAGATGGCTCAGTGGTTAAGAGCACTCACTGCTCTTGCAGAGGACCTGGGTTCGATTCCCAGCACCTACATGGTGGCTACAACCATCCTTAACTCCAGTTCCAGGGGAATCCAAAGCCCTCTTCTGACCTCCGCAGCACTGCACAACACGGGTGCACTCACATACCTGCAGACAATTCACTCGTACACATAAAATAAAAATAATAATAAATAAAATATGAAAAAAGGATAAGCTTAAATTATCCCTTTAATAGTTCAGTCAAGTGTTTTAGAGATGGATCTCACAGGTACTGTCTCCAGGCAGAAATTCTAATTAGAGTAAGACAGTCCATAGGAATTGCCTGGAAGTTCTTTTTAAGAATTAAAAAGACGTGTTGATATCATACGCACGAGGACTTCCTGAGGCTAAAATCATCTGGAATTGTTATACAGAATTCTGGGACCTCAGACAAGAAATGATGCAACATTTGAGAAGTTCTAATACTTTTTCCTCTTCTGTAGGAAAAGGAAGAAACCAGATTATTGCATGAGAGTGAAGCAAGGAATGGGTTGTAGAATGATTACAGTTCTGGAGGTTTCAACTCAGGAGGCTGAAGCAGGAGGAACAGGAGTTCAAGGCCAGTCTGAATAGTGAGCCCCATCTTAGCCACACCAAACAAAATAATAACACACTGAGGATTATCTTGGACAGAAAAAAAAAAAACAGGTATTGACCCTGGAGCAGTTCAGGATTGTGATATACTTATGAATAAAAAATGATATTTCTAGCTTTCTATATATAAAATGAACTAATAAATCTTCCCTCTTACAACTGTGAGCATTAAAATTTATGAGATCATTCTCAGCTGTCTGGCATAAAGTAAGTGCGTGATGTTTAAACCATGTGGGCTTTGGAAACTTTTTAACTTTGGGGGTCTGATAATTCCATGTATTTAGCTCAAATTCTTTGATTAAATGCCACCCAAAGAAGAAACTCACTAGAAATATCTATTCTCCATGTTCTAGGCTGCTAGACAACAGAACTGTAAGGCAAATCTAAAAGTGCAATAAAAAAGTTAGTAATAGGTTCAAGCATGTAATTCTAGCCTTGAGAGGCTAAGGCAGGAGGATCTCCTTGAGTTTGAGGCCAACCTAGACTATATGATCAAGTTACAAAGTAGTTTGGACTCAAGAGTGAAACCTTGCCTCAAAAACAAACAAACAAACAACCCCAAGAGCTGGGCTTGGTAGCACATGCCTTTAATCCCAGCACTCTGGAAGCAGAGGCATGTAGATCTCTGTGAGATTGAGGACAACCCCAAGAGCTGGGCTTGGTAGCACATGCCCTTAATCCCAGCACTCTGGAAGCAGAGGCATGTAGATCTCTGTGAGATTGAGGCCAGCCTTAAAGGAGATAAGAAGTTTTTCCTGCTTGTTTTCAAGACAAGGGTCAAAATACATTTGCTCATGTCCTTAAGATTAAGACCATAAGAACATTCAGTTGACGATTGTTACTTAATTTCCCCTTTCATCTTTTCTATGTCACCTGTCTAATCATGTTCAGAAATCCACTGTAGCCAGTGGTATAGATATTCTCAGCAGAAATGACTTTTTGGCAGTTTAAGGGCTAAAATTGTTTTCCTATGGCATCTTGCCACAAAGCCCACAAAAATCAGTTTTATACAGATAGTGTATTTTGATGATTTAATTTATTGTGTCTGCTCGTTCCAAGCACATATGCGAAGCACTTGGGCAGAGTCCCCATATTTAGAGTATTCCTTAAGCTCCTATATCCCAAACAGGAAATATCTAGAAGTTAGATTTGTCTACTAGGAAAATCACTCATATTTGAGAGTTGCTATTAGAAATATTACCTCACATCTGTACAGCATAATTTTCTTTAAAGAGTTTCCACATTTACCAGCTTGCTTTTCTCACCCTATAGTACAAACAGAGGCTATATGCACTTCCTCAGCCCGAGTCAGGTGTGCAGAAATACCTTAGCTTTTACTTGTGGAAGCTGAGGGTGCTCCTGGCTGTTCATTTAGGTTCTTGTCTCACAGTGAGTCAAGGCCACTGAGGAGGGCGCTTCTCAGAGCAAAACAGCCACCATCTTCATTAGCTCTGCTGCCCCTGCTTGCAAGAGTCCATCGGGATTTGGCTTGTTGACTGTTAACATTTTCTCATAGAAGGAGGGGGCATCTTTGGACCCTCACCTGAGAGTCCAACTGCTTCTCCCAGCCCGTCGTAAGCAGTTCTGCATGGGATCTTGGGAGGTGCTGGAGTGTATAGGCTGAGGGAGGCTGGTTGGGAGGGGCTCCATCTGTGTGGTTATGGAGAAGTCATTGCCCCTAACCCTAACCTTCCACTGTGGCTGCTTTGGGGTCCCCCTCATTCCTGCAGGCAACCCTTTACCTGTGCTCCATAAATAAACAACCAACTCACTGCTTCCTCAGGGTGAACTTTGGGGAAGCTGTGCTTTGGTTTGTAGCTGGAAACATAAGGAGGGGCAGATGTTGCAGGCTCCCCAGGGAAGGCCCCAGATGTGCTCTCAGCTCTCTTCCCTGGTGGCTGTCATGACATAGAGTTGGACAACCATGCATTGTGGGTGTGCTTTTCTATGTGTGACTTAAGTCGTCAGTGACTACAGCAGCTAGCTAGCGCTGTGCTCCACAGCCCCTCAAGGCCTCAACTACCTCTTGCAGGCCCAGGCTTTGAGTATCCTGATGTGGTTAATCTGAGGATTTCAGTCTTATAATCGACGTTTTCCTTGGCTAACCCGAGGGAAGTGCAGCTTGTTGGTGCAGAACTAGAAGAACTAAGGCAGTGGAGGGTGAGCACCTCTCAGTTCACTATCAGGTGGTTTGGGAATGTTCCATCGTTTCCATGTCAGATACACTGTATATGCCATAATCTGTGTGTGTGTGTGTGTGTGTGTGTGGTGTGTGTATGAGATGTGTGCATATGTGTGTGAGATATGTGTGAGATGTGTGCATGTGAGGTGTGTGTGTGTGAGAGATGTGCATGTGATATGTGTGATGTGTGTACCATGTGTGTAATGTATCCCTGTGATGTGTGTGTGTGTGGTTTGTGATGTATATGTGAGATGTGCATGTGATATGTGTGATGTGTATGTGTGAGATGTGTGTGAGATGTGTGCATGTGATATGTGGGATGTGGGTGTGTTTATCATGTATGTGCTATGTGTGTGTATGTGTGTGTGATATGTACATGTGATGTGTGTGTGTCTATCATGTGTGTGCTATGTGGCTGTAATGTGTGTATATGATATGTGTATGTGGGGTTTGTGT